GCCTGCCTTTTTCTCTCAGGTGAAGTGACTCAGGAATAGTTGTTTTTTTGTGGAAGCCAAATGTGCTCTAAATTTACTGCCCCTAGGAATGGTTGAGGTACGTGTTTTCTGGCAGGAGTCTGTGAGCGGTCATGGCAGTTCTCAGCTCACATTCACGTTTCTCCTTGTCTTCCATGGTGCCTTGGGGTCCCTGCAGGAGTGACCCGTGAGTGTCCTGCTTGCTGACACCTGATCCCTTAGTGCTACCGCTGCAGCCCAGGAGAGCCGAGGCTTCGTGAAGCCTGGAGAGCTTCCTGGGAACATGGGCAGGAAGTGCTGTGGGACACTTTTATGTAGTGGCTGGCTCTTTGCCTCCTCGTCCTGTGGTCTTCAAAAGTGGAGTAGCACTTTTATTCCTGTTACAGTATCATATTAGCCATATATTGCAAGACATTTTGGAAATACAGCAAGAGAAAATGAAAAAAAATGAGCATTACATATCAGTTGACCCCACAGAGACAACTTAAGTTTCTGGGCACATTTGATATATGTATATGGATGCTTACATTGTGTACCTACTTATATTGACCACACACACCCGTTTTATTTTATAAAATAATCTCAAGCCGTGAATTCATTTCGTAAGTTACTCTTTAATTTCTTACCACGTGGTAGATAAGAATCAGGCGGATGTTGGTTTGAATCATGTTGCTGCAGCCTAACTCTGTGACTTGGGCAAGTTATTAAAACTCTCTGAGCCTCAGAGCGGGGCTCTGTGTTAGAAGTGATTGGGATGGACAGTGGCGTGAGTTGAATAGATAGATGCTCGTAGAGCGCCATGATCCTGAGTGCGTTAGGGCTGCTGTCAGTGGAACAATTTTAATTCCAGTGGGGACAACTCTGTTTTTAATTCCACTGTTTAATTTCATCAGTCCCCAAGACTATTTAGATGTGGCACTTCATTGATCCTGAACTCAGATCTCTACAGGCACTGAGCCCATTGTATGATCTAGAGAAGTAAGCCTAGCGTGAGAAAATCAACTGACAGAAATATGACACACTGTCTTCGTTTTCACCTCACTCTAGGTTAATACTGGAATTTAATATTCAGAATGAATAAAATGTGAATTGAGATAATTCTCTCTAGTACTCCCCTTTGCATTTGGAGCCTGAGCTGGGATGCCTGTCCTCCACAGCAGGTCTCAGCGGCATGTCTTCTCTCTCAGGTTGTGAGATGTGCCGCACTGAGCCTTGGCGCCCCTGACGAGCAGCAGTGTTAAGTTTTGTTTAATTTCATAATAGAGGATAGCTGAGCATAAACAGAAGTACTTCCAACTGGAACAGAATGTCGGCATAAGAAGATTTTCTATTTAGGGTAACTATTCCTGAGATATTTATAGAAATCTGAGGTTCCATGTCAGTCGTGTTTAGTTTTTTGTATCATACTCTGCTACAGTTCGGTAACTTCCATTTGTCCAACCCTTTGCTCCCACTATCAGTTATTAACTGAGAAAGGCAAACTGAACAGGTCGTATCATTTCTGTAAAGTTCTAAGTCACAAATTGTCTATGCCTGGGGCAGTTCCTTCAGTTCTACAAATGTAAAAATGTAGTTCAGACCATCAGTCTTTGATTCTGCACACTGATTGCAGCATAGGGACGTGGGCCAGAGAATTTCTTACCAAACAGGTTTCGTGAAGATAAAATTTCAGTAGAAATGAGTGAATTAAATCACATATTTGTGTAACCATTTAAGAATTCCACTTCAACAAATAGTGTTGGAAAAACTAGATTTCCACATGCAAAAAATGAAGTTGGACTCTTACTTTATGCTATGTAGAAAAATTACCTTGGAATGGATCAAAGACCTTACTGTAAGAGTTGAAACTACAAAAGTCTTAGAAGAAAATAGTGGAAAAACTTCCTGACATTGGATTTGGCAGTTATTTCTTGCATATGATGCCAAAAGCACAGGCAACAAAAGAAAACATAGGTAAATTGGATTTCATCAAAATTGAAAACTTTTGTGCATCAAAGGACACTATCAAACAGAGTGAAAAGGCAACCCATGGAATGGGAGAAAATATTTTGCAAATCATATATCTGATAAGGGATTAATATCCAGAATATATAAAGACATTCAACAACAACAAAAAACCCAATTAAAAAATGGGCAAATGACTTAAGTAGATTTTTCTCCAAAGAAGATATAGCCAATATCTTGCCAATAAGCACATGAAAAGATTCCCAGTATCACTAGTTGTTAGGGAAATGCAAATCAAAAACTGCAATGAGATACTACTTCATACTCATTAGGATGGCTAACATCTAAAAAAACCAAAAACAAACAGAATATTCCAAGTGTCAGTGAGGATGGAGAGAAGTAGGAGCCCTTGTGCCCTGTTGGTAGGAATGTAAAACAGTGCAGCTGCTGTGGATGACAGTGTGGCTGTTCCTCAGAAGAATTAAACATCAATTTACTATATGATCCAGCAATACCCCTTCTGGGTGTCTACCCAAAAGAATTGAAAGTTGGCTCTCAAAGAGATATTTGTATACACATATTCATAACAGCATTATTCCTAATAGCCAAAAAGGTGGAAGCAATCCAAGTCTCCACCAATGGATGAAGGAATAAACAAAACATATGTTCATACAATGGAGTATTGTTCAGCCTTAGAAAGGAATGGAATTCTGACATATGCTACAACAGGGATGAACCTTCAAGAGATTATGCTAAGTGAAATAAGCCAGTCACAAAGGGACGAATACTGTATGATTTCGCTTATATGAGGTTCCTAGAGTAGAAGGCTTGTGCTGTCAACCAAAAAGGCCAAGTCTTGGAAGCAGTGTTAGTTGGTGAGCCAAGGTGAGGCCTTTTCCTGGGATCCTATGATGTGTTGTTTACAACAGAACAGAAAGCTCTCTTTGACACCATGCATCTCACCCACACGACACGTCCTCCCGCAGACTGCTCTTATGCGTCCAGTTCATCAGGCAGAGCTGTGAGCTGTATGCCGTCCAGCTCAAGGGACTGGATCTGTTTCCTGGTGGTAGTTTCATGACTGTTCCTTTGTTAAATGTTTACAAAATCTTTATTCCTGGAGAATGATACTATAAATGAGATGATGTAATGAATGGACTTAAGCTTTACGGGCTTGCAAAATATTGAGTTTCAGTCGAATAAAAAGTGTGTCATTAACAATGACCGTTGAGGGTCATATTTGTTAGTTTTGACCAATCTACATCAAACTTTTCACAGAACACAAAAAAGAATCATTTCCTAATGTTGTGCTTACCATGAATACTATATCCATAAGTTCTTCAGTCTCATGAAAATTCTCATCAGCTCCATGAGTAAATATAGCTATCTGGGTTGTGTTATTTATATCTCTCTCCTAATCAGCTGCCGTTGGAAACACCATAAATGACTTGTCTTTTCCATGCAGCTTGCCCTGTGACTTCTCAAACCTGTCTTTATTACACTGAGCAATATCATTATTTACAGTTAGAGTTAAATTGGTCAGTGCTCCATTTTTTCAGACATTTTCTGCCATATTGAGTAAAACACTTAAAACTCACCATCTCCAACTGCTTAGGCAGTGTAAAAAATTAATATATAACTGCATTTTACAGAAGCAACTCATTTGTGTTCAAAAACAGTCCCTATTGAAAATGTCAGTTGTTTTCCAATTCATTGAGGTTTGTTTTTGTTTCCTTTTTTGGTCATCCAAATTTCTAAATACAGGTAGGTTCTGCTTCCTAATATGGTTGCTTAATAAGAGCATAGTAAGGTGCATTCTTCCAGTGCAGGCATGGCTTTGTTTGTTAAACATGGCGGAATATGCTTAATTACTGAAGGGAAATATGCTTTCTTGAAACTTGTGGTCTTTGTTTTTCTTTGTCCCACTTTTGACTGAGATGTGAATAAGAAAAGATTTTGCTTTCCTTTTCGAGTTGTTTAAAGGAAGCAGCACTTCCCAGTCTGAAGTCCGGGAGTGATAGAGTGGTGGCAGCTGTGGCAGCCTGGCGTGCGCTGCAGCCAGAAGGTGCAGCTGCAGGTGACTTCCAGGCAGAAATCAGTCTGTGTATGAAATCACCCACCCACCACCATTTTTAAATGTTGGTAACTAACACGGAAAAAAACACTTTCACCTTGGTGGGCTGAACGAAACCCAGTTTGCTTGAGCTCCTCTGAAACTGGGCAACCAGCCGCTCCTCTGCCCCCTGGCCACCAGTGCCCTGGGCAGCCCCGCAGCCACTTGAAGGATAAGATTTAGATGAATCCTAATGTTGTAGCTGTTGTCCAGTTCTTATTGGTGGAAATTGAGGCTACCAATAAGGATGTTCCCTGCTTCTGTCCAGCTTTCTGTTTCACGAGATCCTGGCCTCATCCCTAGAAGATCCTGGAGTGAGTAGACAGACGGGTCCCATGGAGCAGTGCACAGGGGACAGTTAGTACTTGCAGGAAAAAATAAACACCACCAGGACAAAGCCTGTTTTCATGAGTTTTTAATCTGTTTTATTTTTATTAAATTAAAATTAGTCTACAATTCATTTACCATACATGATTATTTAAAAGCACATGAGTTGAATTTCTCAGAATTCGATAAGTCTTATCTGAACTGAAAGAAAAATGCCAAGTTTGATGGACCGGTCATTCCTCAGGTGGATGGGCTAAGGGACAGCTTTACTTGCCCATCGCTGGCCATCTTGTGGTTCCTGACGTGGTAATGATTGTGGACTCGATTCAGAAAACACACCAGCTGTGACGCTAGTGATAGTCAAGTGTCAGAATCACTTAATAATGATAGAAGATTCTCAAGTGCTTTTGGGGTGTTATCAATTTTATAAACTAATTAAGAAATTAGATTCTGTTTTGAAGTAGTTTTCTAGTTAATAATTTTGACATATAAACTTATGGCCCTGGTTTATTTTTATAAATGGAGAAATGAGACATTGAAATGTTAAAACTAAAGGGTATGAAATCATTGCCTGCTCTTTCTCTCCCATCCACTGCAGGGGGCACGCAGCGGCTGCCACGCGCCATTGGAATGTCCCTGGCCAAAGAGCTCATCTTCTCTGCGCGTGTGCTCGATGGCCAAGAAGCCAAAGCAGTGGGCTTGGTCAGCCACGTCCTAGAGCAGAACCAGGAGGGGGATGCTGCCTACAGAAAAGCTTTGGACCTGGCAAGAGAGTTTTTACCCCAGGTATGTCTGATTATGTTTCCTTTTTTCCTCCTTTTAGATCACTTTAGAGCAAATCGACAGAAACAACAATCATCTCTAGTACCTCTGATGTCCTTGGCTTGCTTCCCAAGTAGAGAAGTCCGTGGTAGCAGTGAAACTAGAAATAGTGTGCTTGTTTACATTAAGAGCCTTCAGAATTGAAGTTAGGATTTAAAGATAATCCGAGGCCCATGCTTCAGCCGTGCTTTGGTGATTGTCACATGCACATTGGTCACATGGGGCAGAACTTGTAGCAACCTCACTTGTTCATCAGCTGACCCTTCTGACCTGAGCCATGCACGTGGAGAGAAACAGCGATGGATGGGCTGTCACACTGGCTCACCCCGAGGTGAAACACATCGAGGCACAAATACGTAAGGAGACCGCAGTCAAGTATGCCTGGCCATAACTTGCTTTAGATGACCTGCTCAAACAGTGGCAATTGTTTGTCTCATTGTCTCTCTTCATGGTGACATAGGCATTGTTTTACCTGCTTTGTGTATAGTGTACTTCCTCACAATTACCCTTGCAAATCTGGAACTCACTGCACATTTACTGAGCGAAGGCAGTCCTCATGAGTAATATTCGTAGCAGTGCACCAAGGGTCCTGTTTTCAGAGTTTCCTCGCTCTCTCATTCTTCCAGGTTTATTGTTCAAATATTCCTTCTTTCTGAAATCACAGATTAAAGGATTTTGCAGTGTAAACAATTAATTGTTTGTCTTTATTTCTAATGGAGTTTTGAACTGCACGACCCCCAACCCCTTCTGGAGTCAAATAATTTCCTCTCCCATTCTGTCATTTAACTCAAACAGGATCCATCACCTGTTTTGGGGCTATGGATGCTTCTGGGAACCTCCTGAACTCTCTCTCCAGAAAAATGCATACACTCCCACATTTGTTCAGAGTTTTGCATCCAGTCTCAGAAGGTGTCCTTGGAGTTCTTTGTTGTCAGTCAAAGGCCCAGGCCTGCTGTGATGCGCCTGTCCCGAGATCTGTCAGACGGGGCCTCACAATTGAGTTGGTTTCTGAAACCACACTGCCTGTTGTTGATACCAGTCCTTCTCGACTAACGGGTGAGCTGTAAGCTCTTTCAGGGCAGGGCCTTAGATAATTTATTCCCCATATAAGATAAGAGAGCCTTACCCTCTGAATTGATGGAGAGGGAGCAAATAGAAAAGATTTTTACTGCTTAAAGCAGTAAAAAGTAAAGCTTTCTAGATATTTATTTTTATTATTTCTATTTATTTTTTCTGTAAGAAGTAAAAGGGGGGAAAAGCTCTCACTGTAACTTTAGTATTAGTATTTCTCCCAAATAACAGAAATGTCCATCTAAAGAGAGAGGAGAGGTACACGTATCAGGAGAAGTGACAGTTTAACTAAGTAGCGGTTTAATGACTTCCTTTGGCTTAAACTTTATGACCAATGCTTGTCTCAGTTGAAATACAGGGCGTTTCTAAGAAAGGTTATGGCATACTTCCAGCCCTGGCACTCCCGGCGTCCCTTGGTCTTTGGACGTGACAGTTCAGCTCCCTGCTCCAGAGCTCCACCCAGGTGGCTCATTAGCCCCCTGGCGTCTCTGTGGTTCAGAGTCCATATCTCATTCCTGGGAACTAAGCGCTTTCTCCCATGACTGTCTGTGGTTAATGCCATCACTGCCCACAACTCGCCCTGCCTCAGAGCCTCTCCCTCCGCACCTCCACTCCCACAGCCAGCTGCACTCCAGCACGTGGTAAACTGAGCCGGCCTTCCATCAGGAGAACATGCCTCTGAGAACATTAATTGCTAAAATTAATTTTTCCCCAGGTCAGGGGAGATGTTGAATGACTTCAGAATATGTGTAACTGTAAAACTATATGCAAAGCTACAAAACGAAATTTGAGGTGGAAAAATTTTTGTTTTTGTAGTCTCTGTCACTGAATGATTAGTCTTCCAAATAATTAGAAAGCATCTATAAAATTAGTATTTCTAGATGATTTCTGTATTCTATGTTAACTTCCATTTTTCTTTCTGAGAAAAAAGATTTGTATAGAAGAAGAGGCATTATTTTATATTTTCAAAGAGAAGATAATTAAATAAGCATATGTAATACCATTTTCATTTTCCTGTTTCCCACAGTTTATTAAACCTTGCTACCCAGAGTGTGGCCTGTGGACTAGCTGCGTGGGCATCCCCTGGGAACATGGGAGACCTGCAGAGGCCCAGGCCCTCCCCAGACCCCTGAATCCATATCTACATGTTCACAAGGGGCATATCGGAGTCTGATAAGCACCTTGTCTGGGTCAGCTGGTGATAAAAGTGGATGGAAAAGATTCTCGTTGAGAGGAACACTCTGTTTAAAAACAAATGAATTGATCATTAAAAAAATGGTGCTAATGTGTGTACTACACGTGCAAATCACACGTGGAGGATCTAAGGTGCTTGTCTAAGCCTCGGAAAGCTGGCCTCTGGAAAAGATGTTTAAGCATGTGACTTAGAGAATTTAGGTAGGTTAAAGCCGATAATTGAGATGCCTAGATAGAAAACAATGGCATCTTTCAGGCCGTCATGCATTTATCCATTCGCTTATTAGAGTCCTTTGATGTGCCTGTTATTTAGAGTCTACTTTGCATTTTAATTCAGAAAACACTTAAAAATATGCCATTGAAGTCTAATTCATCACCCATAAACAATTTTTAGGAATGTAAAATATGATCAGATAACTAAATTGCATCTGGAGGATTGTGGTTTTCTAAGACAAGAGCATTGTTTTCCTTCTCACAAAGGACTCCCACTTCTTTCCTCTGTGACCCTCACACATTCTGAAGGACTAATTTGCACTTTACACTTTGGTGTGATCTGGGGGCACTGCCTGGAGGACACATGTTTACTATTGCTGCCTGCGGAGGAAAGATGCAGAGCCACTGTCTGAAACAGAGGCGCTCTGAAGCCCAGTGAAGCGACAGCGTCAGCCTCATCTCTAGCCCAGGTTTCTCTTGTGCTGCTGATGGGTGTGCTATTGTGCCAGAAACTTGATCTCCTCTGCTTTTCCCTCCTGAGCTTCTAGGGAGATTGCTGAAGAAGGATAACTCTCCCACTGGGCACTCAGCACCTGCTAAACTTTAAAGATTTGGGACCTGCCGTGCCGCAGCGTGCTGTGGGATCTCTGTAACCCACCGATGCAGTGGAGTCGTTACAGCTGCTGTTTAAGTCCTTGCAAAGCTCCTCAAGGAAATTTCACATCAACTCTCTTACAGCCATTGTTGCTTCAATGCCGTGGATCTAGTCATGGGAAGTTCTGAACTAACTGAGATATACAGTGTAATTTGCATAAATAATTAAAACCTGTTTCTTTAAATCTTAGGGACCTGTTGCAATGAGAGTGGCAAAATTAGCAATTAATCAAGGGATGGAGGTGAGTGCCTTAATCCTTGAGTTTGTTGTTGGAGCAGGTAGTGGAGATTTAATTTAAATGAGCAATGTTTAGATTTTACATTATTTTTTAATGTTCTAAAGTATACCTGTTTCAATGCTGCTATTCCTGAAAGCTGTTGAGGCTCTTTTTAGCTACGTCACTGATTGCACTGTGCTTATAGCTGTTGTTGGTTCAGCATCCTAACCACAGAATTTTGTAATTTGACTGATGCCTTGCAGCTTATGACATGCCTGCTATTTTTCCCATTGCGTTAATAGATTTATTGGCTAGTAGTTCCTAGAAAACCAAAAGAACAGGGCATTCTGTGTATTCTCAGCACCAGTCAGTATTATATTATAAAAAAACATTCTGCGGAGAGCATCCTGGCTCAAAGCTGAGCCTAGCTCCCCCCACCTTTAACTCTCAATGGCCTTTCTGCAGGGAGACACACAAACAGGCAGGTCTGTAGAGTGTCCTGGGGTCACCCTGGGAGGTGGCTCCCAAGGAGTGGAGGCCCCAGAGCAGAGGAGAAGTAGGCAGGGCGAGGGGGCAGTGCAGGCACCCATTGGCATTGGGCTGCTAATTACAGCAGTTATATTTTGGTTAAATTATGGGAATTTTAAAGAAAGATACTTCTTCCTTGCAGACCCAGAGGCCTCTATATCTTCCTGGGCTTCATAGCAGTAAAAAGATTGAATTTGTTAGCAATAAATGCAGTTTTAAAAATTTACCAAGTATTTGATTGTTTTTTAAAAATTGTATCATAAGAGTAACAGTGCTGATAGCAAACCCCTTATACGACCCTTGGTGTGCGCCAGGCTGTACGTATATCTTAGATGCTTCATGAAGGCTTCGCCTAGATCAGCTCATTCACTTCTCACAGTACCCCATTTGGTAGGCACTACAGACGGCTCCTTGTTCAGATGGACCTCTCTGAGGCACAGAGAGGTTAGGTAGCTTAGCCACGCTTCCAGATGGCGGAGTCCGAATTTGCCCAAGCGACCTGGTTCCACAGTGTCTTGTGCTGGTCACACTTCTGATTTGCTGGATTTTATCAAACAGTTCTGTTCTTTTGGAATAGGGTTATTAAATTTGAATTTATATTGAGTATACCATATTTTAAAAAGTAACTGGCTGAAAATGCATTGTGTGTTTATCCTCAGGTCGATTTAGTGACGGGGTTAGCCATAGAAGAAGCTTGTTATGCTCAGGTATGTAACACAGTCACAGGTTCAGTGAGGATGCCCCGTGCAAATTATGTTTACCTTCTGTGTAAGTCAAATGAATTCTGTATCACTGAGCAAGATTGCACTGATGCCTATTCCAAAATCATACAAAGGGGTTGAAATTAGTTGTTTTTGCTATTTGACTCTTAGCAGCTCTGGTGACTGATTATGTTCCACATACTAATGACTGTCGTCTACATAATTTAGAAGACTCTTAGAATGATTAAGTTAGTGCATTTGTGCTGTACCTCTCTCTGACTCATGTAGTATTTTGTGGGTGAGGACTTAAACCCTCATTCCAGTGTAGAGAGGTGGGAGGAGGGCCATGATGAGCATATGCCTGCCGGGGAACTTCGGTGTTTGAGACAGATTGGCTTTTCCTGACCTTCTGAGCCTTCCCTCTTCACTAACTCCATTATACAGTTTTCTTTTTGGTGCCCAGATTAGTAGCGCTTTCCATAAATGAACGAATCTTCCTTTTGATTTTTTTTCCTTGAAACATGTCATTTTGTTTTAGGGCATCTAAAGTAGCAAAAGAATTGTGTTCTGCCCTTCTTAAGAGTTGGAAGCTGCGTCAGCTCCCGTTTATGCATGGCAGCTTCCATTTACGCGTGGCAGTGTCGTGACTTAGGAGTGATTACTCTGTGTTACTTAGATTACTCACAGTAACACTGTGTTACTCAGTGATTACTCTGTGTTAGAGTGTTACTCTGTGCCTGGTCTGTGTACATAAATCACCACCTGTCACTGATGAGCACATGCCATGAAGTAGATTACCCACCCCTTACCACTGCACAGCCTCAGAGCCCAAAGGAACATTTTAACAGTATATTTGGCCATAATCACACCTTATCGATTATAAAATAACAGAATTCATGCAGAGTATTCTGTCAGACCACAATGGAAATAAACTAAAAGTCAATAACAGAAAGATAGTTGGGAAACCCCACTTATTGATAGTGGGATTCAATCTTTTTAATGAAGGTTAACACACTTCTAAATAACATGTTGAAGAAGAAGTCTCAAGAGGAATTTAAATATATTTTTAACTAAATCAAAATGAAAATACAACTTATCAAAATTTGTGAGTGTATCAAAAGCAATGCTTAGAAATTTATAGCATTGAATGCATATATTAGAAAAGAAGAAAGATCTAAAATCAATGTTTCCACCTTAGAAAGTAGACAAAGAGCAAATTAAATCCAAAGTAAGCAGAAAAAAGAAATAATAAACTTTAGAGCAGAAATCAATGAAATTGAAAATAGAAAAATATCAACAAAACCAGACTTTGGTTCTTTGTAATAGATCTTTAAAATTGACAAACTTCAGGCCAGGCTAACCAAGGAAAAAAGACAAAAGATAACCAATATCAGAAATGCAAGAAGGGCCATCACTACTGATCCCACGGACATTGAAAGGATAATAAAGGAATACTGTGAACAACTCTATGCCCACAGATTTGATAACGTAGATGAAACGGACCAATTCCTTTAAAGACGCAATATACCAAACTCACACAAAGAGAAACAGATAATCTGAATAGTCCTATGTTTGTTAAAGAAGTTAAATCAGTAATTAATAAACTTCCAAAATAGGAAGCACCAGGCCCAGATGGTTTCACTGGTGAATTTACCAAACATTTAAGAAGAAATTATACCAATTCTCTACAATCTTTTCCAGAAGATAGAAGCAGAAGGAATGCTTCCATAACTCATTCTATGAGGCCTGACGCCAAATTACCCTAATACCAAAACCAGAGACCTTATGAGAAAGGACAACTATAGCTCATCATCTCTCATGAACATAGATGTAAAAGTCCTCAACAAAATATTAGCAAATCAAATCCAACAATGCATAAAAAGAATTACATGCCACCACCAAATGTTTTTTTTTCCCCCAGATAATGCAATGCTGGTTCAACACTCAAAAATCAGTTAATGTAATCCATCACAGCAGGCTAAATGAGAAAAACTATATGATCAAATCAGTAGATGCAGAAAAAACATTTGACAAAATCCAACATACATTCATGATAAAAACTCTCAATAAACTATAATTAGATGGAATGTTCTCAACTTGATAAGAACTTCTACAGAAAACCTACAGCTAACATTATACTTAATGATCAGGAACAAGGCAAGGATGTTCCCTCTTATCACTGTTTTTCAATATCTACTAGAAGTCCTAGCTAATGGAATAAGACAAGAAAAAGAAATAAAAAGATACACAGATTGGAAAGGAAGAAATAAAACTATATGTTCATAAATGATATGATTGTTAATGTAGAAAATCTCAATCAGCAACAAAAAAACACTATGACTAATAAGCAATTAGAGCAAGATTATATATACAAAGTTAATATACAAAAGTCAATTGCTTCCCTATATACCAGCAATGAAGAATTGGAATTTGAAATTAAAAGCCCAGCATCATTTACATTAGCATAAAAAATTAAAATACTTAAGTATATACTAATGAAATGTTTGCAAGATCTGTAGGAGGAAAACTCCAAAATTCTGGTGGAAGAAATCAAGATCTAAATAAATGGAGAGATATTCCATGTTCATGGATAGCAAGACTCAGTATTATTAAGATGTCAGTTCTTCTCAACTTGATCTGTAGATTCAATGCAATCCCAAAGAAAATCTCAGCCAGTTACTTTGTTTGTGTTGGTAAACTAATTCTAAAGTTTATATGGAAAGTCCAAAGACCCAGATTAGCCAACACGATATTGAAGAAGAGCAAAGTTGGAGGACTGACACTACCCAACTTCAAGACTTGCTGTAGAGTGACAGTAATCAAGACAGTGTGGTAATGGCTAAAGAATAGACACATAGATCAACTGAACAGAATAGGGAGCCCAGAAGTAGAGTGATACAAATGTAGTCAGCTGATCTTTGACAAAGGAGCAGAGGCAATTTAATGGAGAAAAGATAGTCTTGAAAACAAATAGTACTGAAGCGTCTGGACACTGAACTACCAAAAAAATAGCATCTAGACCCTGACCTCACACTCCTCATAAAAATTAACTCAAAATGGCTCATAGACCTAAAGTTAAAATGAAAAAGTATAGAACTTCTTGAAGATAACACAGAAAATCTAGGTGACCTTGGGTTTGGCAATGACCTTTTAGATATAACACCAAAAGCATAATCCATGAAAGAAAAAATTGATGTTTGACTTTATCAAAATTAACAACTTCTACTCTGCAAAAGACACTGTAAAGAGAATGAAAAGACAAGCCACAGACTGAGAAAAAAATCTTTACAAAACACCTGTCTGATAAAGAACTTGTATCCAAAAGATACAAGGAACTTTTAAAACTCAACAATAAGGAAATAACTCATTAAAAACTGGGTAAAAGATTTGAACAGACACCTCTCCAAAGTAGATGTACAGATGGCAAAAAGTGTAGGAAATAATACTCTACATCATATGTCATTAAGAAATGCAAATAAAAATGAGCCACAATTTTGCCATTTCTTTCAAAGCTAAACATAGTCTGACGACATGATCCAGCAGTCTTGCTATTATGTATTTACTTAAATGAGTTGAAAACTTACGTTCACACAAAAACCTGCATATGGATGTTTACAGAGCTTTGTTCGTAATTGCCAAACTTGGAAGATTAGCCCTGAGCTAACTGCTGCCAATCCTCCTCTTTTTGCTGAGGAAGACTGGCCCTGAGCTAACATCCATGCCCACCTTCCTCTACTT